GATTCTTTCTATTTCAATCTATTTATCTATCTATCTGTCTATATATCTTTCTATCTATCTATCGATCTATCTATCTATCTGTCTATCTTGTCTGTCTATCTATCTGTCTATCTATCTATCTATCTATCTTGTCTGTCTATCTGTCTATCTATCTATCTATCTATTTATCTATCTATCTATCTTGTCTGTCTGTCTGTCTATCTATCTATCGATCTATCTATCTATCTATCCATCCATCCATCTATCTATCTATCTATCTATCTTGTCTGTCTATCTATCTTTCTATCTATCTATCTATCTATCTTGTCTGTCTGTCTGTCTGTCTGTCTATCTATCTATCTATCTATCTACATAACGTAATGGGTCAAAAGAATGTGTATAATATGACCTGTTCAATAAGCATGACCATCCAACAACTACAACACACACACACACCGCCGGTCCTCCTGTTCGCTGAGCTCTGTCGCAGCCTTCTGCCATTCCAACAGCCCAGGAGGATCTCCCAAGATGAAAATCCGCAGGGGACTGGAGCGTTGCCTCAGCGGAGTTGCTTAAGGGGCTCCAACAAACATAAACGTATTCCATATAAATTCCCCAAATGGAAACTTAGTATGGAAACTTCAGATTTCCTTGCATGAAGTATTTCCCATTACCCATAAAACCCCCTTAATTATAGGAATGAAATTAAATTCAGTTTGATAATTATCCCATTAGATAAATCCATACCATTGTACAATGTGGGGCACCCCAGTTATGTGTGTTGGTTTATAAACTCCATGAAAACTATAGCTATACGTAGGTATCATAAACCATATCTATTGAAGTTATTTGCACCAACTTAGCTATCTACGGGGCCCCTCATTGTATAGATTCCCCAAATAACTAATGCACTTCCATGCATGTCCTCTTGGGAAAACAAAACATCCCCTTAAGCAAATCTTAGAAAGGATTCACGGTACAAATGATGAGAATGGAAAAACCATTCATAGGGAACTGATGTGACACGTTACACGTGACCACCTTCCACTTGAGGTTTAGCCCCCAACTCGTGGTATCCCAATACCAATCTTGCATGTAGTCAAATCTCCCGTTTCCCACTCCCTGCTGCTAAACTTTTCTGGAGCTCCCCAGTCCCATTTTGGGTACCCCACATGAGCTGTGTGGGCACATCCCATGACAATTTGGGGCGCCCCATAAGTGGATAGGGGTCACATGCCCCAAACACTGTTCAGGCCTTTGACCCCTTACCACTCAAATGATCTCAAACGACTTGAAATGCTCTTGTGGCGACCCTTGGTCTCAATTTCTGTGGGTTGCCCCCTTTAGGATCTGAGATTTGGGAAGACCATGGGAGGCCCAAAACATAAGCCACAAAAACCCAGATTCATGTGATGTCAATGATCGATTTTCAAGGGATTTCGCTGCAAAAACCAAGGCCCACAGAGGCTGAGAATGGTTAAGAGTTATTTAGAGTGACTTAGAGTGATTTAGAGTGACTTAGAGTGACTTGGAGTGACTTAGAGTGATTTAGAGAGATTTAGAGAAGGTATACATGTCAGGACATATATGCCAAATGGATAGGGGTCAGATCTCTTGGGTCACATCAGACTCCTATGAACCATGTGATTGATTGAGAAATGAAGGAAATGACGCCACGGGATTGTGGGGATGAAACCAGAATCTTACCAGCCTGGGCCGAACATTTTGGATGCTTTAAATTGGAAGAAAATATCATGAAATGATATCTTAGCAAGTATCCACATAGAGGCTCTCCTAACAGCAATATGAAAAAGATTCAGCATCGGAAATTCATCTCGGCATGTCTTGGCAATGAATTTCTTCAAAACATATCGAAGTGTCTTCAAACACAACCGAGATGAGTGAGTCTATTCGCCTTTGCCCTGCCATCTCTTTCGGAGGAGCCACAAGGAACTGCCTCCTCTTCTGCCTCCTCTGCCGGGCACAGGAGTAACAGAAGAAATTGCCACAGGCGCTGCAGCATGGTGGGATAGCTCGGGCCAATTGCAAATGATTGACAAGCATCAATAGCTCGGGCCCACCACAGTCTACTTGTGCATGGGTTCTTCGCGCTCGTTTGGGTTTGCTGGCGGGCGCGGTTCTTCCTCCTGTATTCATCCGCTTGGTTTTTACCAGTCACCGCCACTCAAGGGGTACTGTAACCTCATCCTTTAGGCATCCTGGACATGCTCCCTCTCTTTGGATTCCAAATGCAAAGGTGAGAGGCTATCATAGGCTATCACGATCTATCACAATCCCCATGAAACATTGAATGATTGAATGTCTATGCACAAATAATCAACAAAACTGTCAGCTCCTCAGTTATAGATATAGGCTTCCCATCGGTAAACGTTTACATAACTATGGAAAATCACCATGCTATCAATGGGTAAATCCACTATTTCTATGGTCATTTTCTACGTGGCAAACTGCTAGTCACTACCAGAGGGTAACTAAGAAACCTTCACACCATTCGGCACACCATGGGAAGCGACCATGAATCCAAGGGAGTCTCACCAAAAATAATAATCAATGCGCCTGGGTGTGCAGTTAGGATGACTGTTGGGCACCATGATAACGACACGTGTTCGGATATAACGATACAACCCTGATGGCCATGTACCCTATCACTGCTGAAAGTGGAACCGCGCTTCAAGTAGACAGTAGACATGTAATTTCTGGAAACGCACCCTGTTTCAATTCATCATGGACGTCCAATGGCAATATCTGCCGGGATTCGGCCTCACAGCAGGCCCTCCAGATTCGACTTTTGCCGTTTAATGTGTTGACGTGTTCCCTAAAACCATCCCCAGATGCGAACCATGGTGCTGGAATATTTACGTACATAAAAACCCCCAAAATTGCCCAAATGTAGGTAAATATTCCAGCACCATGGAGCATCTGGGATCCATTTTCAAGTCTCAAACTTAAAAAAATATATCCGGGCGGCTGCAAGATGCTCCAAATGGTCAAGAAACCTGGTCGTGGCGATGTTGATGCATGAAGATGCGCATTGTTGGGCGGGTTCCTTATGTGGAAACAATGGTGGATACATTGGTGAACAATTCATATTATCAACAAAAAAGGGAGGGCAGAATAGATTGAATGGATTAAAAAGGCGTTAATGCGTTAATCTATTCAAGTGTTGAATACTGGATGGTGGCTTGTTTGTAAGTCGTTCCAGGAGTGCAACCAAATGAACCAGAACTTTGTGATATGCAATCCTTAGTTGTGCGAATAATATCGGATACTCATGGCATCATCTGGCAACTCAGGCAGCATGGACACTTCAAACCAAAATCAAGAGACCTACTGAAGTCATCATTTTGTTTCTAGTTTAACCCCTTTGTTGTTCCAAACTAAATCCTTATTTGTCCTAATAGTTAAAGTTTAAATCACCATGTTAGCTTATAAAATCGGCAAGTTTGCTATAGCCGAATCATTGTTTTCCAAATTTAGAACCGCCATTTTCTAACTTAGCTGATAAAATCAGCATTGTTTCCCAGTTCAACCGCCCCCCTTTTTCAGCACCACCCTACTGCCCCGCCCTGCCATGCTGTGGGCCGGCCTGTCTTGGCCCAATTTCCCAGGCTCACAGCTAGCAGTGCCACTTCTTCGGCCTTAGGGCATGGAGGGCATTGAGGGCATGGTGAAAAACAAGGCGATTGGTGTAACCAATTACTTAATTACTTGACAATTATTAACAAACCAACTGTTGATTAAATGGTAATCATGCAATAATAGTGATTATGTGGTGTATCAACCAGTTAGCAAACCATTGGATATTCATGGATATTCACTTGGATTTTGATCTGGTCTAATCCAAGCAACAGCTCCATCGCTCCTATGAACTATTGGCTGGGTTGTACATGATCACGACTGTGTTAATCAAATACCAATGAGACAACATTCAACTCATATCGGATGATGACACTAACACGAGCTCATTCAATTGGTGTGTATTATTCACTCCTCCAATATGATATATGGCTATGGATGCAAAACTATGATATACCAAGTTTTCACGGGAATGAACTTCCATGACTCCCAGCTATTTCAGGATGAACAATAGGATCGTCTCAAGCCTTAGTTTCGTCAGACTCCCCGATTCAGGGCCAAAAAAACTTAGTTTCAACAACTGCAGAAATATCTTAGAGACCCGGCACGAGGCAATTTTGGTCAATTTTTATCTGGGTAGATGGTATACGTAGTTACCTGGTAGTTCATTGGGAACATACATCAACCGTAAACGCATATCCTTCACCCGCCGGTATAATCCAGAGCCAAGGAACTGTCTGATTTAACTTCCGTTGAGACTGCTTCAAGGAGAAACCACGGCCTGTCACAGCTGAAGGACCCAGCAATTGTTCAGGTCCGCGCATTGCTACGTTGATCCGTTGATCTATTTTGAGCCACTAAAAATACCCCGGTTTTCCCGTGTCATCAAAAACTATAATTACTATAATTACTTCAGGTTTCCTACAAATTACTCGCCAATAGCGGGGGTAGTATTGTTCCCTCCAATAATCAATCGATCAAAATGCAGCTTGAGTATTGTAGAATACTGCGCTGTATAAGAATTTGACGGGCTCGGATCCAATGCGGGCTACATATTTTCAGCTATACCAAGCACATAATACTTTGAGAATTTGAAGGACCCTGGGATAGGATTGCCAAATTCTTAGATAACTGTTTATACGTGAAGTCTTGTGAGTTTTGTGGGATGGGAACTGGAAGGTTGTCCTTTTTGTGGAATCATCCCTTATGGCCTTATGGGGTGAAAACGAGCTTTGCAGAAAAGCAATTTGTTGGGCTCCGAAAAATTGCTTTTTCGCGCATGCTTGGACTGCTTCCACCCCACTCAAAATCAATATGTGGCTCGAGTAGGGAACCTGAAACATGGTTTTACCCCAATGACTTGATGAAAACTTAGCCCTGCCGCTCCGGGATTCGAGCTCGCGACCTTCGAGCTTGAAGACCGACGCTCTACCCATTGTGCTCGGGGAATTTTGCCTCCTTACTTACTCTCTCTCTTTGAGCTGGCTGCAAGGGGCCGGGAGTTTAGCCTGCGTTGCGGTTGCAAAAAAAAAATCGCGATCTGTTTTTTTTTCCGGCAAAGCCCTCGTGAAACTCAGAATCCATTTTTCATGCTCTGATTAGTTTTCCTCACTTCCCCCCCTGAGAGATGAAATGGAATGAATCCTTCTCGCGGGGATGGCAGGGGTCAAGCCCGGCACTGCTTATTTTTTTTTTCGCGACCTGATTTTTTTTTTTGTTTCGGCACTGCCCTTGTGAGACTCATTGACGCCCGGCTTCGCAAAAAAAAAGAACATGTTTTTTTCAGGCTCTGATTTGTTTTTTTTCTGTCTGTCTGTCTGTCTGTCTGTCTGTCTGTCTGTTAATCTATTGATCATTATTGATCTATCTATCTATGTCTCTATCTATCTATTTATCCATCTATCTATCTATCTATCTATCTTTCTATCTATCTATCTAACTATCTATCTTTCTTTCCTTTCCTTTCCTTTCCTTACCTTTCCTTACCTTACCTTTCCTTTCCTTTCCTTTCCTTCCCTTCCCTTCCTTCCTTCCTTCCTTTTTTTCTTCCTTCCTTCCTTCCTTCCTTGCTTGCTTGCTTGCTTTCTTTCTTTCTTTCTGTCTTTCTTTCTTTCTGTCTTTCTTTCTTTCTTTCTTTCCTTCCTTCCTTCCTTCCTTCCGGATCCCTAAAAATGTTTTTTTTGATCCCTATTTTTTTTTTTTGATGCCTAAAAATGTTTTTTTTGATGCCTATTTTTTTTTGATGCCTACGCCGCCCTTGAAGTAGGCAATGTGGGAGCAGCACTCCCTGTTGGAAAGTCAAAGACGTTGATGAACACCTCATCAGCAGGGTTCCACGCTTTGATGTGGCGGGTCAAGTTATATGCCCACAAAACTTGAAATTGAAAGTTCTGTCTGTGGATGCAGGAGTAAATGCTTTTCCACATGACCAATTCCTGGTCTTGTGGTTCTTCCAAATGCACTCCCGTCAGAGACTCGATGAACCCTCTCGAGCTTGGCCCGAAATCCGGAGAGGTGCCGTCACTGAATGCAAACAACAAAAACCACGAAGTGATTCGCTTGCTGAATGCATCGAAGGCCTCTTGTTCATTTTGGACTCTCAACCGCAATGCGTCGATGCCGTCTTGAGAGTCGGGTTGCCCAGCCCCTTCCATATCGACATCGTTGATGAGACGGTAATGGAACGGCGAAATAATGTTTTAGCTGCTTATGACATTTTACCATTGAAAAATACCGAAAAGATTAAAGTAAAGCTAGTACAGTATCTAACCCATGGAATGACCCAGATCTTTGAGATGTCACTGCTTGCCTTGGGGCTTGCGAATCATGGCTTCCAAGTTGGGGATGATACTAAAGGCCTGAAAAATGGCGGGCGGGAGGAACAATTGGGGGTTTGAATAATCCAAAACTATCAAGCCGTGAAAAGTGGGGATTGAGGAAAAAACCTGGGGATTGCAAAACAAAGAGGAATGATAAATATAAATCAACAACCGATCTTGAGAATGCGAACAAGACCAACGCAACAATGGGTACAGTACATTGCGAGACGAACAAGAAGAACACGTAGGATACAGTACGCATGTATCATGTATATATTGGATAAATCTATGACGGATGGACAATCAAATCTAAAGATTCGATGGACAGAGATGTCAGAATCACCAACCAAATAGCCTACAAAAAACGTTATTTCAGCTGTTCTGTTGGCCTTGTATACCTGGAATTTGGCTACAGACCTCAGACCTCACATCTGAAAGGTTGGCATATATTGGGGGTAAAGGGTTGGTAAGGGTCAAGTTGAGTGCCAAAGTATGGGTCAATACTCAAAAACAATTTCAATCATACATAACTTACATAACAATAACATATGATCATGATTTCACAACTTAAGTGTTGATTTGTACATATTCCATGGGCAAATTCCAGAGCAAAGAACCTACACAAAGTTGAATCCCCAGGGGGCCAAATCCATTGGTTCGCCAGATTTTTTTTTGGATTATGAGTATAACATTCCATATGATCCATAAATTCCAACATTTTTTGGTGAGTCCAAAAATGGAAAACCAGGTATGCCAAGGTATAGAAAATATAGAAAACTAACCCTAATATTATCCATAATTGCCTCATCCATATATTTTGGACTCACTTTTTTGGATTATTGCCTCATCTCCGACAAGAATCATCAGCGTTCACCGTCCCAGAACAGGATCACTTGGTCTCATTTGGTGTCCCAACCAGCAAGTCAAAGGTGTTCATCCCAATCTGCGCCAGATCAAACCGGGAGCCGCTGTGTGATTGTGGAAGCTGTGGAAGCTGAGCATTGCGATTAATGGGCTTCTCTGAAATATCCCAATTATGGATCCCGGATTCTCCATGGTGCTGGAATATTTACCTACAAAACTGGGCAATTTTTGGGGTAAATGTAGGTACATATTCCAGCACCATGGTTCGCATCTGGGGATACTTAGGGAAAATCATGATAAACCTGACGAGTTTCTTTGGGTCCAGCATTTTCGGTCAAATCCGAAAATGTATGCCACTGGAAATCACCAACAGTACCTTGAAAAACCTATAGCCTAGGCATAGGATTCCAGGGAGGCATCGGTGTTATTCTCCGAAGATATCAATGTCAAAAACCCAATCTGGAGAAATTACTACAGTTATGGCCATTTACCAGTTATAAGTATACTTATAACCCCATTTATAGAATGTATAATCCCATTTATAACCAGTTATAACTAATGTATGTTTCTCAACTTGGCTTATCGATTTTGGGATGATTATACCATTCGATGTTCCGTTAACATGTGCATAATGCCATGATCACGAGATGGTAAATGAGGCATGGCCATCCCACCAAATATTAGAGATTCCTATTAGCCTCTGGTAAACTAACATAGCTATGGAAAACGGTCATTTATCTATGATGTACCCATGAAACATTGTGATTTTCAATATCTATGTTAAATTGCCAGAGGGTATTGGTTTATAAACCATAGTTATTGAGGTTACATGGTTTATAAACCCCATGGATACTATAGTCATAGGTATCATAAACAATAGTTATTGAGGTTATGCGCACCAACTTAGCTATCATAAATCAGCCATAAATCAAATGAAATCCCCATGTTGCTATGGTTATCCTATGGTTTGTTCCTATGATTTGTCCCACATTGTATGGATATATTGGTATGACCAGGCCAATCATCCGATCACGCTGGTGTCCATAGCTGGGGGATCCTCAATAGCTGGATGGTTTACGATGGAAAATCCCATTAAAATGGATGCTAACTAGGGGTAGTTTAGGAAAGTCATCCTGTTAAAAACGGTTAAACTCTCATGCTTCTAGCTGGACCTTCTCCATTCCCAAGAGTTCATGCTACTCTTGCTAATTTTCATATTTGAAGTGTCAGATCTGAAGAAATTGTGATGTGAACCACTCTGAAAGGAACAAGGAACCAAACATTTCTATGAATTTACCAAATTGATTTTACCCTTTAGGGTTTGTCTGAACAAAACATGTATATATTTATACCCCACAGTCCGCTTTAGAACCTCATGCCCCCTATCGAACTTAAGCCAATTTATTTATGTGGGTGAAACCACCTCGACATACCATCTCATCTCATCGAATCTTGGCTGGATATTCTAGTATATCCCAGTAAATGACTGGTTGGTGGTTTTAACCATCTTGAAACATATTAGTCAGTTGGGATGATTATTCCCAATATATGCAAAAATAAAAAATGTTCCAAACCACTAACCAGATGAATATAGACATATTTAGTTTTTGCCAGGCAATCCCTGAACTGTCTTACTTTAATCTTCATGTTTGATGGTAAATGTCTGAAGATCTCCTTTTTTGCACGATCAAATCACTATTTTGCAAAAGAATCCCAGACAATTCCCTATGTCCCATTCAAGTAATGGTGGATCTTCATTAGTAGCTAGGTTCGCTAGTGTGGCTCAACATGTCCAAATTATTCTGAACCCATAAAATGTTTGGAAGTTTCACTACTGTGGGCAATATGTTTTTTGGTAGACCACTGTTTTCGTCAAAAAAAATGTTTGTGACATTTTTTCTGGAGAAATGTTGCTTGTCTGTCTTTTCCAAAAGACTCAGATCACTTATGAAACCCGAAGGGCCATGAGAGGGCCCAATTCACTTTAGTAGGTTTGTTCCCAGGGTTCACAATTGCAGCAAACTTTTCCAGAGCTGATCCTGGAGCCAAGAGAAGAAAGAACCGCCTTTTACAAAAGCAACCTGTGTTTTTTCTTTTTCTTATTCTTTTGTTTTCTTTCTTTCTGTTTCTCTTTCTATTTCTCTGTCCATGTCTCTTTCTCATTTCCTTTCTCGTCCTCTTCCTCTTCCTCTTTGTCTTTATCTTTATCTTAATCTTTCGCTCTCTTCCATCTCCCCTTCTCCCTCTTTTTCTTCCTCTTCCTATTTCATTTCTTTTCCTCTTCCTCTCTCTCTCTCTCTGTCTTTCTGCTTCTCTTGTTCTCTTTATTTTGCCTTTTTCTTTCTCTTTCTCTTGCTACACCTTTATTAAAAAGACTTGAGGTGGAAAAGGTAACACAATCAACATGCTGAATCCTATTCACTACAAGCATTACAAATACTACCAGGACAACCAATATCACAAGTTCATCCGCCAAAAAAAGTTACTGTAGATTTCAATTGTCGCCAATTATTTTCCTTACTTTCCAGTAAATGCAGGATCGTATTATTTTTCTCGGGAACATGTTGTTTAAAACTCAACTTTAAAGAGGGTATAGCAGCATTCGTTTGAGGGGGAGGTACACACTAATCAGAACGGAACATTACTATCTTTTATAATGAACCGTCACGGCTGATATCACGGCTGATGGCGTTCAACAAAGGCCTCATAGAGCTCCAGTGCTGGCTGAAAGTTGGGTCGGATGAACTCGAAACTCAGATCCTGCGGAAGACACTGGTTGGGTCTGGATCACAATGGGGATCTTACATTACAAAAATAAAGCTAATCATACTAAAATAGTGGTAAACTTGGTAAACTATTAATTTATCCATTTCTATGAATATATATATATATTTATATATAAATATATATATATATAATCTGCATAAATTATGGTAATTCACTAATCTGTGGAAATAACGCTATTTGATGCTACTATGATGCTATTTAAGGATGGCTACTTCCACTTGATGGGGATACACCCCTGTGCTGTCCACGTTGGTTTTGACGGGCGATCTCTGCGCCAAAAAATCACCGTTTTGATAGGTTCATCCCAGTGGCACCAGTGGGTTGGGATGATGATTCCAACCGGCATTCCAGTCGACGTCGCGAAGTCATGTCGGTAAGATTTCTGCAGTTATGATTTGTGCAAATATTTATACTGTAAATTAATACATATTCATATTACCACATTTTGACCATGAATTTACTGTAATAAATCATGATGTATACATGAGCATGGGTTAAAATGTGGTAATCTTCCAAAAAATCAAGATGAACAGACAACAAAAGCTCCGGTCCTCAGTCCCCGACAGCAACAACTGGACGTGGGAAACCCAGCAATCGCAAGTTGTTAAAACATTTCATATATCTCGCTACCGGGCAACTTCCAACACCTGGATTTTTCAGGATGGTAAAATGAGTAGATAGAGAGGCAAGGCAAAATGAGCCATTTTCCCGCCTCGTGGATTCGTGAAGTGTTTCTATAATATAATACTCAGGAGGATTGGGGCAAGCCGCGCAACAAAACCTAAGGGCGGCACACCAATGGGGAAACTTGTTACAAACGTTCACTAAGCCTTACAAAACGCATAATCATCAAATTAATTGGAATTTCAGGACGACCCTAAAATGGAGGTACGTTAGTAGTTAGTACCATATTTTGTGGAGATATTCTTATATAGCCTTATATATGGCAGGTACCTTCAAATTAGGTTCCTGACATGGCCATTGATCAAACGTGAACATTCCACATGATCTACAAAGTCTGCATGGCTGGGCTGAGGTGACATTACATGCTGTATAGCACACCCGAAAAAAGATAGAAGATATTAGAAGATAAAGTCATGAAAATTTAACGAATGACATGGAATGACATGGAATATCAGGCGATAAAGATTTTACTGATATGGAAGTTTCCTAAAATGGGAATACCCCCCAAAAACAATGGGTTTTAATACTAAAATGGTCCAATGACTTGGATGATTTGGGGTACCCCCATGACTTCATAAACCACCATGTAGTGGTAGATGCGTTGTTCTATCTGTTTCGGGAATTACTATGCACTAAGTCCAATGTAATGTGGTAAACCCAATCATAAACCTCGAATTTTGAATGGTTTATACAATCCATTTCTGGCAAAATAAAGGCTATCTAATTCCAAAATTAGAAATAAAAACTCATTTCTGCCACTCTATATTCTCAAGATTGTTTGGGGATGGTTTATTCTTGGGTGATTTTTAAACCATCCCAAATAACCATAATTATACAAAATTGGTGATGGTTTATACAATCCTTTGGGAATGGTTTATACCACCTATAAAAAATGTTTTTTTGGGATGGTTTATTATTGTTTTACTAACGGAACTATGGAAGATCACCATTTGTCGTAGGCAAATCATCAATAAATCGAACATAACTACGGAGAACCACCATATATTGCTTGATTGGGTTTACAAGGGTTTACCACATTATCCCTCTTATAACCCGATGCTCAGTTTTCCCGTGGACCCCCATCCTGCATCTTCACTCTGTGGGCAGCCGCTGTGTGTCCCAACAGGAAGATGTGGAAACTCTCCAAGCGAAACCTCGAAACATTGTGAGCCAACTGAAGTCGAAATATAATGGCAATAATATGTGGCAACCCAATCAACATGAGAATATAACCATTGGATCCATCAATGGTTCTATGGTTGTCATAAGAAGAAGAATTATGATATATATATATAATAAGAATAAGAATACTAAGAATAATGTGCAAAACCCAACGCCATAAGCCATCCCCAATATCACCTTAAATGGGTGGCAACAATCATAACCAAATGGGAATTGTTTATGGCATTGGGTGCACACCACATTGATCTGGGAACCCAATCAAAATAAGTCCCATTCTTACTGGTTTATAGTATAGAACAGTTCCAGAAAAAACATAGTTATTGCTATATTACTTATAATAATGACATTAAATGATATTAGGTTTAATGTACCACATACTAACGACATTAAATCCATGCGTGCTTGCAACTGAGCTTGACCTGTTGAGACCAACATTTTTCCAAACGCAACATGTACTTCGAAGACATCATCTGTAAAACAATACAACATGTTTGCAAATCAAGCAGCTTCCTGAAATGGTGGTACCACAAAATAGATGGTTACAATTTTTACAATGGAAAATCCTGTTGAAATGGATGATTTGGGGGTACCCCCATGTCAGGAAACCTCCATAAATCCCATGATCAACCACGTGAAGTGACCCTGATTGCTTAGCAAGTCCCGGATTCCTGGGTTGTTCCATTTATTGGGTTATAACTGGCTTATAAAGGGGTTACAACAGGGATATAACTGGCTTATAAAGTTTTAACGGGGTTATAATATGTTATAATCTTCTGGTTGGTGGTATACCTACCCCTCTGAAAAATGATGGAGTTCGTCAGTTGGGAGTATAATCCCCAATAGTAATGGAAAGTCATAATTCATTCCATGGTTCCAAACATTTCAAACCACCAAGCAGTAATCATCATTAATAACCATCATTCATAGCCATCATGAACCATTTCCTATGGTTGTCCCATGGTTTTCCATTAATAAACAAAAATATGTTAAACCTTCCCACTTCCACTTGCCAGTTTTTAAGTGGAATGATCCCCTAGCCGCACCGTACCAACACCAACCTTTCCAACCCACCATGGGCGGGCCGGACATGGCACGCAAAAGCTTGCGACTGCTGTGGACGGCTTTTTGCAGCAAGAACTGTGAGTCCTGGGGATGTTCGGTTCAAGAATGGTTAGCGTTATGGCCATTTATTAGTTATAATTGGTTATAAATGGGATTATACATTCTATAAATAGGGTTATAAGTACTTATAACTGGTAAATGGCCATAACTGTAGCGTTATGGACCTACGAAGTCGCTCAGTTCTTTCACATTTACCCGGCGCTAGACACGGCGGCCATATAGAATGGCTGGGAAAATGATCTCTAAATAGGGGTCCAATTTGCCATGTTTCCAGAGCGTGGCCGATTTCCATCCAGTGGTGCCCCCAACATCATCTGGTTTTTGCCAATGAGGAAACGTAATGGTTTTAGGGTACCCTCTGGTAATTTAACATAGCTATGGAAAATCACCATTTTCAATGGGAAAATCAACTATAAATGACCATTTTCAATAGCTATGTTAGTTTACCGGAGGGTACCCCAATATAATTTTCAGCTTTTCAGCAAGCAACAAATGACTGGAAAAATCATTTTCTGCTTGGTCTCGACCGAAAGTTTTTGCCCGTCGGGATCATCTCATTTTTTTAGGGGAATCAAGACATGTTTGACACCACCAACATTTTCCAGTATTTCCAGGTTTGGGTATAGTCTATCTCATTTTTCCATGGTATTACTCACCAGTTTTATGTCCAGTTCTGTTGGTAAACAGTTTCCATCAATTTCTCCTCGTGTTGATACCTTGGGAAGCGCATGTTTGTTTAATAGCCAGGCATGGGAAAAGGTTTGTGGGTTTTGTTGGATTTGACTAGAGCATGGTATTATGTTTGATATCTACATACAGCACACAAACACACACCAAAAAAATAGAACACACAAATCCAACTAAAGTAGGTGCAACTGACTCTTTTATGTGTTGCGGTTTCGTATGGTTTCCGAATACCAGCTAATGGAACCATTAAACTCCAGTTGGTTATGGTCTATGGGAATCAGGGAATAAAATTTGGTATGGATACTTTTCTGTTTACCACATTGGTGGGATATCAAAGAATTGACAAAATCAAGTCTTAATACAATAGTAAACAAACAACACCATGAATTTTGGCCATAGCTGCTGACCCACAAACAGTGACCACAACTGTCTATAACAAACAGTTTTCGTTGGGTAGGGTGGCCATAGTGTCAGGTGGGGTACCTCAACAAAACATTGGATGCCTAATGTGGGATTCAACCAATATCACCATCCCCAAGTCATCACCCATTTAAAACATATTCAGTAAAGATTAGGGTGGTATGTAAAAACCTTCCCCAGCCAAATGGGACCTTTATTCCATTTTTTTCTTTCCCACGTGAAAAACACTAACCTTGTTTCAATGGGTTTCACGGTCAACTTCCACGCCTCCACGTGTTGCATCCTCAAGAAATCGTCTTTAATTGGATCCACCTCAAAAAGCGAAGGCTTTCAGTGAGGGATACCCTCTGGTAATTTGTCACATAGCTATTGAACATGGCTTTTTTTGGTGATACCCGGCCTGGTAATGACTAACAGTTTGCGAACTGGAAAATGGCCCATAGAAATAGTGGATTTACCCATAAATAGCATGGTGATTTTCCATAGTTATGTTACCCTCTGGTAATTTAACATAGCTATTGAAAATGGCCATTTATAGTGAGTTTTCTCATTAAAAATGGTGATTTTCCATAGCTATGTAAACGTTTACCAGAGGGTATCTGATAGGAATCCTGGGGGAAATCCAACTGGTTCTGTGGTTCGTGGAGCTAATTCAGGAGTCCATGTCTCGCCGTCTCTTCCCTCGCCCCAACAACAAAAAAAACATGTTTAAGGGATGTTTAAGGGATGTGTTAAACCACAAAAAATAACAACAAAAGTATCCAATTGGTCAATCAATGAGAATATACCCCATTTCCAAATTGCAACATGTTCAACGTTGTTAAACCATGTTAAACCACTTTGAAGTGATGCCTTTTTTGCAACACAGGGGGTTCATCAAGAAAGATGATCATCCTGCCCAACTGGGGGCACCCTTTAATTTGCTGTTCAATTCCCGATTGGTTGAGCTAGAAAGACATGAAAAGCGTTAAAACTGGGTTTGTGGTTGAGCCCTACCCCTCTAAAAAATGATGGACTTCGTCAGTTGGGATGATGAAATTCCCAATATATGGGAAAATAAAAAGTGTTCCAAACCACCAACCAGTTATAAGATATAAGATCTAATTTTGATCATTCAATGATTAAATCGAATGACATCCGCTTCTTTGATGCTGAGATCATCTTGAAAATCATCCATTTTCACCATTTTTCCCACGTCCTCCGTCCCTCAAAAATGACGAGAAATGGCCCTTTTTGAGGCCTCCATAATGGCCACACGGGCCATAGCCTCGGCCGTGGACAATCTGGAATTGTCGTGTCGAAGGATTTAGCAGCAGCAAATGGTGAAAATTGCAGATTTAAAGTTATTACCAACTATAAGCAATAAATTGCAGTTATCCAACTATAATACTGATGGTTAAATGCCAATTAGCTCATTAGAATTTGATTTAACTTGTCCAATGGACAATTCCAGAAAAATGGGTGTGTTTCTGCAGCGAACAAAAATGAAGATTCATATCACACACGGTAAACATTGGTGAAACTTGCCAGGATGCATTGGGGTTTCGGATGAAACGAGCAAGAACCAGGATTTAACTGATTTGACTGGCAAACATTGGATTTCGATGTTAGGAAACATGTGGACAACTAGTAAATTGCAGATCATCAGATTAAATCTGAGGATTTAATTTGGAATAATTAGTGACATATGATGAGATTCTACCAGCCAATTTATAGGGAGGCAAGCTGGAATTTGACTGATGGAAACATGATGGCAAAAATTGAGCCTGGTGATGAGTTTGATGGTCAGGGTATGGGTATGTAGGATTAAAAGGGTTCTGTCAAGAACCACCCCTCGACTGCTCCGTTGCTCAAGACTGTGCAGATCTACAATACATTGCACCGCAGCTCAGTAGGCTGTATGGTACAGCCATTCAGCTCACCGGACATACGTCTAGCAATTCCTTGCCTGGAACTGTCCCACACTCGCCATCTGCAGCCGGTGATGTGGATCCGGAGGATGAGCACAGTGGCCATTGGGAGCATCTCTTCTAAGCTCAGGCCATGCCAGTCACATGCCTGGCAGGGGAAAACAGTGATCCTCCACGCCTCGACTTCCGCCAGTTCTTGAAAAGGGTGGTGTCGATTTGGCCAGTTCGCCGAGTACCCTTCGATTAATCCAGAGGTTTCACTCGGTTTCACCAGTAAATCTCCATTCAAACATAGTAAACATAGAGCTACGCAAAAAATATAAGAAATACGAGGATTTCAGTATTCAAAAAATGGGCTGATGATGGATATGATGGTTTGCCCGTAAGCTTACCCAGTAACCAATCAAGATCATGGGGTCATGCTGGGGAAACAAATATTAACACTATATAGACATATATATATATAATAATAATATCTATATAACATATATATATCTATCTATGTGTATATATATATATTATATAATATACATAGAAACCCATCTATCCGTCAAATCTTTCTGCACCAATCACCGAGTTCAGGCGTTCTTTTTGTTTTTTGTTAATGATTGGCATAGGTATAAACCGACTCACCGTAACTCATCCATCAATGATCAATCTCTGGGTCGGTCAAATTCTGATTCTTCGTGCTTGAGTCCATCATGTTCCCTCAAATGCAACATGCACTGCCACTGGTGGGTAGATTGTAACCCCAATTAATCCACCTCACAAGTAGGACTGAACGGGATGAATGCGCATCCCAGTTCACATGTGGTTAAACACATCTTATGACGACCATATCTAGCCACAATCATATATGGGATATATACACAATTAAATCATGGCATGAATTACCGGCAAGTTACCTGCTGTGATCTGGGCAAACTAGTATAGTCAAAAAAACTGAAATAAATCTGTTTTGGGATGCACACTCGCATACAAAATGCCCACCCCGGTGGTAACTTTCTTTACAATCCCATCAAATTCGAGATGCATCCAGCATAAATCCTAGTTATTGAAGTGATACACGCACACTTACTCAGTGAGGTCCCCACATTGTAACTCATTTATAATTTCTAATACTATGTATATCTGAAGTGAAAAGAAACCATATAATAAATATACCCTCTGACAATCAAACATGGCTAGCTGGACAATCCACCGTTTTAAACCTCCATGGCTTTACCAGGATTTCCCAGGTTCGCCCGCAAGACCATGGAATTTTCAGGAACGCCGAACTAAAACCCATGGTGGTTTCCAGGTTAGCCGCTACAACCAGGCCTTCAGGGTTGATCGATTTGCGGTGACTTGTGAAAAAAATCCATGTTGGCTGTTTGAGGGTGCAGTTTGGGTTAGGGCCTGCATTGGGTTCCATGATGTTCCATTGCATGATTTCCTGGGGAGCAAAAT